CGAATCATTTGCTGTTTGACTGCATGCATGGCATTATGAAATCTGAAGACTACCAGAGAATTCTGGGGTGCAATGTAGGGCCCAGTGTCTGAAAGTTGGGTCAGAGGTCATGGGTCTTTACAGCAGGACAATGACCCAAAGCACACGTCACAAAGCTCCCAGAAATGGTTTTGGACAAAGCACTGGAGAGTACTGGACTGGCCAGCAATGAGTCCAGATCCGAATCCCATAGAGATCCTGTGGAGGGAAAAGGAACCTTCCAATCTGAGAGACCCGGAGCAGTTGGTGAAAGAAGAGCGCTCCAAAATCCCTGCAGAGAGGTGTAAGAGACTCATTGATGGTTACAGGAAGCTGCGCTACCAAATATGAATGGAGGGTGCCAATAATTCTGTCCAGTCCATTTTTGGAGTTGTGCGTGAAATGTTTAACCTACATGCCCGCCACCATCTCGGACAGCTCAGCCCAGAAGGCGTATCTTTTTTGGGCTCAAGGGGCAGCTACTTTGGGCCCCACAACAATGACTGCGCTTGGGGCAACTGCTCCTTTTGCCCTGCTTTGAAAGACGGCCCCGACCCTGACGTGGGTTCTTCTATCCCTTGATTACGGTATTCATAGATAGGGATGGACTTTAAAGGAGAACTATGGGGTCAGGGCTTTTCCCCATAGTTCTCCTTAGGGTAACGGGAGGACACAAACTAGCGTCCTCCCGTCACCCTAAGCTCAGTATATAGGGAGCTACAGCTCGCGGTATACTGAGACGCCGGAGCGGATCCCGACATCGATGTCGAGATCCGCCCAGCTGCGTGAATGACAGGCAGAGCCAGCTATCTAGAGGCAGAACCAGCTGTACCCGCCCCCTCCCCCGTCCGATCCGCCAGTCAGCGCTGGAGGATCGGAGCGGGGAATCCCTGCAGGGAGCCGTGAGTGACAGTCACGGCTCTCTGCAGGGAGATGATTGAGAAGTGAGCGAGCGACGGTATGTGTTCGCTCACCTCCCGATCTATAGAGCCGTCATGTCACAGTCTCATTGTCACCGGTCGGCTCGAACTATGAGGATGACTGGAGATCACTCGCCTCATAGTTCCACTTTTTAAGGTTTTTGAATTACAAAAAGAAAAGAACAATGTTTTGGGCCGGATGAGGGAATCGCTGTATTTGTAGTTTCCCGGAGTCTCGGGTACATTGTGTGTATGACAACATAAGCAAATGATGATGGCGTCTCTTTCCACAGTCATGGCAGGACCCAGACCCGTGGTGCTGAGCGGACCCTCCGGGGCTGGGAAGAGCACGCTGCTGAAGAGGCTGCTGAAAGATTTTGACGGCGTCTTCGGCTTCTCCGTTTCCCGTAAGTCCCGAATATTGCGTCTTCTTCATTTTTAATATCCCGAATATATCTGTGATGGGAGGAGCGCTGGATTCATCGATGTCCTATAGCAGTGGTGGCGAACCTTGGCACTCCAGCTGTGCCAAAACTACAAATCCCAACATGCATCTGCCTCTGGGAGTTATGTCTGTGGCTGTCAGAGCCTTGCAATGCCTCATGGGACTGGTAGTTCCAAAACAGCTGGAGTGCCAAGGTTCGCCACCACTGTCCTATAGAGTCATGGGGTTCTTTTACATAGAAGTTCCCTGTTCTAGGACTGTTGCAGGCGTTCCTTCTGGAAACCTGTAGACAAGGTAAAGAATAAAAGTGTAAGAATTTATATCAATTCAGCAGGGGAAGCCAACACGTTTCGGGGTTGCAAAGGTCCTTCTTCAGGGCTGAGTGTAGACAGAAGAATGAAATCTGTGTTGGGCTGGAGAATGACAAGACGAGTATTTCGGTTTATATGAAGTTTGTTTTTGCTCCAGTTTGGTGTCTTTTTGCTAATGGGGTCCAGATCAGATTCCATTCCTTTGTCTTTATTCAGCCCCCCAAAAAGTGGGGGGCATTACAACCCCCGCAACGCGTCAGCTTCCGCTGATAAATTTAAACAAATTCATATTGTGGACATTACCATTGGAGCGGCGCTTCTATTCCTTACCTCGTCTACAGCTGAAATACATTATGACCCGTTGGATGCGGACTGGAGGTCTGCCAATGGCTCCCCTCATTCGGTATCCCTAGTCCGTGTGCCGGCAGTACAGGAGCCATATTTGTAATCACC